CCTACCTTGCTGAATTTTCCCTATCTTACTGAATCTCCCCTACCTTGCTGAATTTCCAGTACCTTGCTTAATCACCCCTACCTTGCTCAATCACCCCTACCTTGCTGAATCCCCCCTACCTTGCTGAATTCTCCCTATCTTGCTGAATTCCCTCTTCCTTGCATAATCACCCCTACCTTGATTAATCATCCCTACCTTGCTGAGTCACCTCTACATTGCTGAATCTCGTCTATCTTGTTGGACACCCCCATACTTGATTAATCACCCCTATCTGGCTGAAATCCCCCCTACCTTGTTGAATCCCCCCCACCTTTCTGAATCATCCCTACCTTGCATAATTATGCCTACCTTGCTGAGTTCCCCCTTACCTTTTTAAAGCACTCCTACCTTGCTTAGTCTCGCATAGTATGATGAAGAACCCCCACCTAGCATTAATCACCCCTACCTGTCTGAATTCCCCCTCTCTTGCTGAATCCTCCCTACCTTGCTGAATTTTCCCTATCTTACTGAAACTCTCCTACCTTGCTGAATTTTCAGTATCTTGCTTAATCACCCCTACCTTGCTCAATCACCCCTACCTTGCTGAATCCCCCCTACCTTGCTGAATTCTCCCTATCTTGCTGAATCCCCCTACCTTGCTTAATCACCCCTACCTTGCTAAATTATCACTATCTTGCTGAATCATCCCTACCTTTCTCAATCACACCTACCTTGATTAATCACCCCTACCTTGCTTAATCACCCTTATCTTGCTGAATCCCCCCTGCATTGCTGAATCCTCCCATCCGTATTGAATCAACCCTACCTTGCTGAATTCCCCCTACCTTGCTGAATTCCCACCTCCTTGCTGAATTCCCTGTTCCTTGCTTAATCACCCCTATCATTCCTACCTTGTTGAGTCAATGCTACATTGCTGAATCCCTCCTAACTTGCTGAATCATTCCTACCTTGCTTAATCACCCCAAAATTGCTCCATCCCCCCTATCTCGCCGAATCTACCCTACCTTGCTGAGTTCTCTTCCTCTTGCTGAATCCCCCCTCCCTTTCTGAATCACCCCTACCTTTAACAATCATCCCTACCTTACTGAATTTCCACTACGATGCTTTATCAACCCTACCTTTGCTTAATCACCCCTACCTTGCTTAACCACCCCTACTTTGCTGAATTCTCCCTAACTTGCTGAATACCCCCTACCTTGCTCAATTCTCCCTATCTTGCTGAATCATCTCTGCCCTTCTTGATCACCCCTACCTTGTTGAGTTCTCCCTATCTTGCTGAATCCCCCCTCCCTTTCTGAATCACCCGTACCTTGAAAATCAACCCTATCTTGCTGAACCTTCTTCCTTGTTGAATCTCGCTGAGTCCCACCTCCCTTTCTGAATCACCCCTACCTTTATTTATCATCCCTACCTTGCTGAATTTCCACTACAATGGTTAGTCAACCCTACCTTGCTGAATCCCTCCTACCTTGCTGAATCCCCCCTACCTTGCTTAAGCACCCCTACTTTGCTCTATTCTCCCTATCTTGCTGAATCATCCCTACCTTTCTAAATCACCCCTTCCTTGCTTCATGTCCCCAACCTTGCTTAATCACCTTTATCTTGCTGAATTCCCACCCTCTTGCTGAATTCCCTTGACCTTGCTTAATCACCCCTTCCTTGCTTAATCACTCATATCTTGCTGAATTCCTAATACCTTGCTTAATCACCCCTGCTTTACTGAAGTACCAACCTTTTTGCTGAATTTCCTCGACCTTGCTCTATAATTCCTAGATTGATTTATCAACCCTATGAAGCTTAATCATCCCTTCCTTGCTGAATCCCCCCCACCTTTCTGAATCATCCCTACCTTGCATAATTACGCCTACCTTGCTGAGTTCCCCCTTACCTTTTTAAAGCACTCCTACGTTGCCTAGTCTCGCATACTATGATGAAGAACCCCTACCTAGCATTAATCACCCCTACCTGTCTGAATTCCCCCTCTCTTGCTGAATCCTCCCTACCTTGCTGAATTTTCCCTATCTTACTGAATCTCCCCTACCTTGCTGAATTTCCAGTACCTTGCTTAATCACCCTTATCTTGCTGAATTCCCCCTGCCTTGCTGAATCTCCCCTGCCTTGCTGAATCCCCCCATTCGTATCGAATCAACCCTACCTTGCTGAATTCCCCCTACCTTGCTGGATTCTCGCTACCATGACGAATCCCCGCTACCTCCTGAATCACCCCTACCTTGCTGGATTTCTCCCTATATTTTTTAGTCGTCCCTTTCTTTCTGAATCTCCCCTCCCTTTCTGAATCACCCCTACCTTTATTAATCATCCCTACCTTGCTGAATTCCCACTACGTTGCTTAGTCAACCCTAACTTGCTGAATCACCCCTACCTTGCTTAATCACCCCTACCTTGCTGCATTCTCACTACCTTGCTAAATTTCCCCTTCCTTTTCTAATCACTCCTACCTTGCATCATGACCCCTACCTTGAGTAATCAGCCCTACATTAATCACACGAAATTTGCAGAATTCCCCTTATATTGCTGAATCTACCATACCCTGCTAAGTTCTCTCTATCTTGCTGAATCTCTTCTTCCTTGCTGAATCAACCCTACCTTGCTTCATCGACCCTACCTTGCTCAATCGGCCATACCTTGCTCAATCAAACCTACCTTGCAGAATCCCCACCCTCTAGCTGAATTCCATCTACCTTCCTTGCTTAATCACCCCTTTCTTGCTGAATCCCCCTCCCTTGCTGAATATCCCCTTCCTTGCTTAATCACCCCTACCTACTCCCTATCTTGCTGACTTCCCACCCTCTTGCTTAGTCACCCTCACATTGATTGATCATCCCGATGATGCTTAATCATCCCTACCTTGCTGAATTGTCCCTTGCTTGATGAATCATCCCTCCCTTTCTTAATCACCCCACCTTGCTTAATCACCCCTACCTTGCTAAATCACTCCTACCTTGCTTATTCACCCCCACCTTACTTAATCACCCCTACCTTTCTGAATTCCCACCCTCTTGCTGAATTCCCTCTTCCTTGCTTAAACACCCCTACCTGGATTAATCATCCCTAACTTACAGAGTAACCGCTACATTGCTGAATCCCCCCTCTCTTGCTGAATCTCACCTACCCTTCTGAACCCCCCCTTCCTTGCTGAATCATCCTACCTTGCTTAATCACGCCAAAATTGGTCCATTCCCCCTATCTCGTTGAATTTTCCCTTCCTTGCTGAGTTCGCTTTCTCTTGCTGAATCTCCCTCCCTTCCTAAATCATCCCTACCTTGCTGTATTCCCACTACGTTGCTTGATCAAGCCTACCTCGCTGAATCACCCCTACTTTGCTTTGTCACCCATACCTTGCTGAATTCCCACTACCTTGTTTACTCACTCCTACCTTGATTAATGATCCCTACTCTGATTAATCACCCCTACCTTGCTTAATCACCCCTACCTTGCTGAATCACCCCTAAACCCTTTATTAATCACCCCTACCTTGGATTATCCACCCTACCTTGCTGAATGCTCCCTATATTGCAGAATCCCCCATACCTTGCTTAGTTACCCTTACATTACTCAATTCTCACTATCTTGCTGAATCATATCTAACTTAGTCACCACTACTTTCTTAATCACCCCTACCTTGTTTAATCACCCCTACCTTGCTTAATCACCCCTGCCATGCTTAATCACCCATACCTTGCAGAATTCCCACCCCCTTGCTGAATTCCCTCTACCTTGCTAAATAACCCCTTCCTTCTTGATTACCCCTGTCTTGCTGAATTCCCACTACCTTGCTTAATCACCCCTACTTTGCTGAAGTTTTGTCCCATTGTTGTATTCCCTATAGCTTGCCTGATCACCCCTACCTTATTCATTATCCCTATGATGCTAAATCATCCGTACCTTGCTGAATCCCCTCCACCTTGCTGAATCATCCCTATCTTGCTGAATTACCACTATCTTGCTGAATACCCAATACCTTGTTTAAGCACTCCTAAATTGCTAAGTCTCCCATACTTTGATTAATAACCCCTACTTAGCATAAATCACCCCTACCTTGCTGAATTCCCACCACCTTGCTGAATGCCCCCTGTTAGGATTAAGGACGGAGTCTAGGTGAACTTAGGAGCTAGAATTACTCAAAATATAAATCCGAAATTCTGGACAGAAAAGTCGTCTTCACAAGAAACGACGTCGACAAACAACTAGCCGTTGGAATGTCGCGAAACTTGGATATGTTGTAGCTCTTAATCTCAGCTACCGTTCCCAATTTGAATCATGTTGATTGATAAAGTATTCGCGACGCTATGGCTTTCGACGCACTAGGGGGTAAGCTGTAGGAGGAGAACTTAACTCAATCTCAAAGGTTCAATCAAAGTTCAAGAATCTCACAAGGAATTAGAAGGAGCAAGAGAAAGGTTGGGATAGGAAGAGAGGGATGAGAGGGAAGGTCCCAAGAGAGTCCCCAACCAAGGAAACCCCATAAGCACAAAGATTCCCTCCCTATAGGAACCCCAACTTTGACATTTGTCCCTTCCCAACCAATCCATCCAAGTTGGCCACCCTTGCCAACCTAGCTTGGTTGTTCCCAACCAATTTGCAGCTGTTACAGTGAGTGACAAATTTCCCAAACCCCCAAAGGTCCCAACTCCATATAGAGTCACCCCACAACTTCACTTTGTAACCGCCGCAATTGTAACGCAAGCTCATGAACTTTGAATCTTCATAGCTTTCGCGTTCTTGCTCCGATTGAAGGGATTCTCGTTGCGTCGGAAAGATCTTCTCAAGATCTATCATCACAAAAAACCTGCTCAAACAAAATAACACAAAACACATTCCCAAACTCCAGAACACATCACACACAAATTCTTGCACACGTTCAAACCACACATGCAAGTTGAAAAAATATGGGATGGGAGGCAGACAGAATGTGATAGCATATGATGACATCACACAACAATCTCCCCCTCTGGCTGCCAACCATCATCCACCATACCAACATCTCAAGCATGCATACTCAATGCACACTCATCCCAGCAAGCTTCATGCCCTTCCAATGATCCGCCTCCGCCAGACGCTTGGTGAAAATATCTGCTGCCTGCTGATGGGTCTTCACTATCTCCAGCCGCACCTCCTTATCAAGGAGTCTCCTCACCCAATGCCACTTAGGCCTTATGTGTTTTGTCAGCCCATGCAGACAAGCATTCTTGGCGAGCTTCACAGCGGACTCATTGTCACAAAACACAACTGTCGGCTTCTCCTGACCAACTCCCAACTCCTCCAACAAACGCCTTAGCCACACTACTTCCTTGGCCCCATGGTGTAAGGCCATGTACTCAGTCTCACATGAGGACAATCCCACCTCATTCTGCTTCTTGCTGCGCCAGCTCACAGCACCACCTCCTAGCAAGCACACATAACCCCCAATGCTGGTGCCATCCGCTTTCACTGAGTTGAAGCTAGCGTCAGTATAGCAACTCAAGAGCATCTCTCCACTCTTCACATCTGCAGCACCTCTCTGCAACCGCTGCCTCACTCCACTGTACTCCAATCCCACTGATGCCGTAGCGCTCACATAGCGGACCAACCTCTTGGCCGCTTCCAGCTGCTCATGACTAGGGCGTGAGACCACACTAGCCAATCGTGATGTAGCAAATGCAATGTCAGGCCGTGTATGATTTGCAGCATAATTCAGCGACCCAACCATCGAATGAAACAGCTTCCTGTCACTATCACCCACTACCTCCTCATCAGCACATGGCTCCACAGTAAACCCTGAAGGTAGTGGTGTTGCTGGCTTTCCCCCATCTTGCAGCCCATACTTCTCAGCCAGCCCCTCACAGTACTTCCTCTGGTGCAACCTCAGCACACCCTTTTCCACATCTCTCTCCACGTGCATCCCCAAGTAGTACTTCACCTCACCCATCTTGGAGCACTTGAACTGCATCTCCAGCATCTGCTCTGCGCTGTCCAGCAAAGCAGTTGATGCAGAAAAGAGAAGGATATCATCCACATACACCAAGAGCATGAGGATTTCATCCTTCTCCTGCAGCAGGAACAGGCTGGGGTCACACTCACTCTTCTTGAAACCCCCAGCCAACAGCGCCTCCTCCAACTTGTGATACCATGCACGAGGCGCCTGCTTAAGGCCATAGATGGCCTTCTTCAGCCTGCAGACCCTGCCGCTCCCGTCATCCAGCCCCTCTGGCTGCTTCATGTACACCTCCTCCATAATGATCCCATTCAGAAAAGCAGTCACAATGTCCATCTGCCGTATCTTCCATCCCAGGAGTGCAGCTATCGCTAACAGCACCCTCAGTGTTGTTCCTTTCCCCACAGGAGCAAACACCTCATCATAGTCCTTCCCTTTTGTCTGCTGAAACCCCCTTGCCACAAGCCTGGACTTGTAGCGGGTCAGCTCCCCTTCAGGTCCATACTTGTGCCTGTAGATCATCTTGGAAGTGATTGCCTTCTTTCCAGGAGGCAAGTCACACAGGTCCCATGTCTCGTTCTCAATTAGGGACCCGAACTCCTCATCCTCACTCGCCTTCCACTTCTCCCCATTTGGTCCATTCAAGGCCTCCTCTCGAGTCTTGGGCTCAGGGATTGGTGCCCAGTAGCAGTGAGCGATCTCATCTTCCTCAATCTGCTCAACCACACTCCCAGCCTGCACCACATTTGGCTTGCCTCTTCCCCCATAGGTCAGCCTCACAGGAGGGCGCACATCCCTCCTAGGTCGCTCAGGCGGGTGTGGAACTCGAGGTGGAGACTCATGTTGCTGTTGCTGCTCCACTTCAGCTGCTCCCCTTCTTCAGTCACCCCAGATATCTCCTCCTCAGACACTGCAACCTCCACCTGCCTTGAAGGCTGCTGCAACTCATCTGCCTCCACAATGAGTGGTGTAGATGGAAGCTTCTGTTGCTGCTGCTTCCATTCCTTATAGTACAGGGACTCAAGAAACTTCACATCCCTTGACACTGTCAGCTTCTGGATGGTCAAGTCCCATAGAAGCCATCCCTTGTGATCCTTTGCAATCCCCAAGTGCACACCCCATCTTCCAGAAGCCTCCAACTTCCCTCTTTTCTCCTTAGGCACATGAAACACTACCATGCACCCAAATGCCCTCAGCATATTCACAGCTGGAGCACTCCCATACCACTTGGTATATGGGATCCACTCCTTATCCCCAACTGTAGCCAGCACTCTATTCTTCACAAGGGCGACCTGCCTCAGTGCAGACACCCAAAACGGATCAGGTAGCCCTGCACGCCCAAGGAGAGTGCGTGCCCCCTCCTGCAGGGTCCTGTTGAACCTCTCAGCCACGCCATTCTGCTGCGGGTTGTAGGGCACTGTCAGTTGATGCTGGATCCCCTTCCTCTTCAACTCCCCCTCAAAATCAGCTCCAATGAACTCCCCACCATTGTCACTGCGGATCACCTTCACCTTGTGTCCACATTCCCTCTGAGCTCTCGGCATCCACTCCTTAAGGACAGCCGCTGCCACCTCCCCCTTGCTCTTCAAAGGGTAAACCCACACTGCCCGAGTGTGGTCATCCACAATTGTCAAGAAATAGCGGCTGCCTGAGAGGGAAGGGGCTCTTGTGGGCCCCACCACATCCATGTGCACAAGTGCAAGTGGGGTCTTGGCTGGTCCTGTAGTGCTGTTGAAGGGGAACTTGGAGAACTTGGTCTCCAAGCATGTAGGGCAGCTCCCAATCTCCTTCAATCCCCCCTTTACCTCCAATCCTTTCAGGCTCCCATCCTTCACCAACTTCTGCAGCATAGGGAAGTTCACATGACGCAGCCTCTCATGCCATGTCTCCCAATCGGCCTCTCCACTCCTTGATGAAGCCTTAGCCCATGCCGCACTCGCATCCACACCAGCAAGCACCTCACCATGTGTCTGCTGCTGCTGCACTTTCTTGACTGCTTCCAGGACCCCATCAGTTGGTGCAGTTGCATCTCCTCCTGCTGTTGCCTTTGCCGCTGCTGTCGTTGCTGCTGTTGGAGTCTTCCCATTCCATGGGATGATGGGCAGCTGCCACAGGTCCTTGATGCAGCTGGTCTCCTCTTCCAGACTCCACAGCACCTTCTTCCCAAGCTTTGCACGGCAGCTGGTTGGTCCAAAGGTCACTTCGGCCTTACTCTTCTGCAGTCGCCGCACAGAGAGAAGGTTAGCAGACAAGCCTTTAACCAGCAGAACATTCCCAAGCCCCACAAGCTCCCCATTAGCTCCCTTAACCTTGGCATTCCCAACACCAATGACAGGGAGCAAAGCACCTGATGCTGCTGCCACATACTTGATCTTCCCAGGGGGTTTTACCTCATCAAGCAAATCTGCCCGTGGAGTCATGTGACTGGTGCAACCCGAATCAATCACCCAGTGCGTGAGAGGGTGCATCACAACCTTTCCCACAGATCCCACATCACCCTCATGCCCATGCACATCCTCAACCATGAGATACATCCCAGGATAGGCGTTACCTTGTGCACCTTCACCTTGTGCACCTGAGCCTTGCACAGCGCCACCTTGTGCGCGTTCACCACTTGGCGGCTTCATGCCTGGAGGTGACCATCCCTCCGGCCTGCTGAAGCACTTGAACCAAGGATGCCCGACCTTCTTGCAGTACCAGCAGGTGCCCTCCATTCTGGTACTCCCCCTGCCACTGGAGCTCCCATGCCCCTCATTATAGTCACCTCGGCCTCTACCTCTGCCAAAGCTTCTCCCACGGCCTCGGCCTCTCCAACCCCCTCTTCCTCTGCTGCGCCCTGCAGCTCCATACCCCTCAGCAGTCTTAGTGGCAGCACCGCCTCCCACATGGCGTCTGCGGAAGTCCTCCTGCAGAATCTGCTGCCTTAGCCACTCAGGTGTCCATTGATCTTGCTGAGAGTTGAGGGTGGGGATGAGGTTGTCCCAAGAGTTGTCCAACACCGAGATGATCTTGGTGCACTGCTGCAGCTGAGATACACTGCTGCCCGCTGCTGCCATCCTTGCATAGGTGTCCTTGATCTTGTCAAGGACCGGCTTCACATCGTCCCCTGGTCGCATGGAGATGGCAGCAAGTTCCTTCTCGAGCACGATCACCATCAGGAGAGTGTTGGGCTGAATCACATCGCGTAGTAGTTTCCACGCCCTTGGACCCGAATCATCCGCTTCCACAAGATCCTTGATGTGCTCGAACATCTCCTTGTTGACCGATTGAAGGATGAGGTCGAAAAGCACCGTGCTTTTCTCAATCCACCGTTCACGTGCTTCGCCTTCTTCCGGCATCTTCTCTTCCCCAACAGCAATCTTCAGTAGCTTGTAGCGTTTGAAGGCACTCCTCATCCGTCCGCTCCATTCCTCATAGTTGGAGCCATCCAAAGCTTCAACTTTTGATGGCGGCGGCTCACTTGTCTTCTCAGCTACAGCTCCTCTTCCATTAGCATCTCCTCCTCTCTCATTCATCTTCTCCTTGAGAAATGACGAATTTCAGCCCCCCTTTGCTGTCCACACTCAGCTCCCTCGATATTTTCACAAGTGTCGGCGTCCACGAAATTTCGGCAGAGTTTCCCTTAGCGGAAGACACATCCAACCTTTAGAACACCACTTAGGCACACCCACAGGCCATGGTGGGTCTAGAAGGGTCTTCACACTTCTGTAGACTCCTCTCAACGTCCTTAATACAGCTCTGATACCACTTGTTAGGATTAAGGACGGAGTCTAGGTGAACTTAGGAGCTAGAATTACTCAAAATATAAATCCGAAATTCTGGACAGAAAAGTCGTCTTCACAAGAAACGACGTCGACAAACAACTAGCCGTTGGAATGTCGCGAAACTTGGATATGTTGTAGCTCTTAATCTCAGCTACCGTTCCCAATTTGAATCATGTTGATTGATAAAGTATTCGCGACGCTATGGCTTTCGACGCACTAGGGGGTAAGCTGTAGGAGGAGAACTTAACTCAATCTCAAAGGTTCAATCAAAGTTCAAGAATCTCACAAGGAATTAGAAGGAGCAAGAGAAAGGTTGGGATAGGAAGAGAGGGATGAGAGGGAAGGTCCCAAGAGAGTCCCCAACCAAGGAAACCCCATAAGCACAAAGATTCCCTCCCTATAGGAACCCCAACTTTGACATTTGTCCCTTCCCAACCAATCCATCCAAGTTGGCCACCCTTGCCAACCTAGCTTGGTTGTTCCCAACCAATTTGCAGCTGTTACAGTGAGTGACAAATTTCCCAAACCCCCAAAGGTCCCAACTCCATATAGAGTCACCCCACAACTTCACTTTGTAACCGCCGCAATTGTAACGCAAGCTCATGAACTTTGAATCTTCATAGCTTTCGCGTTCTTGCTCCGATTGAAGGGATTCTCGTTGCGTCGGAAAGATCTTCTCAAGATCTATCATCACAAAAAACCTGCTCAAACAAAATAACACAAAACACATTCCCAAACTCCAGAACACATCACACACAAATTCTTGCACACGTTCAAACCACACATGCAAGTTGAAAAAATATGGGATGGGAGGCAGACAGAATGTGATAGCATATGATGACATCACACAACACCCCCCACCTTGTTTAAGCACTCCTACCTTGCTTAGTCTCCCATACTTTGATTAATAACCCCCACCTAGCATAAATCACCCCTACCATTCTGAATTCCCCCTCTCTTGCTGAATCCGCCCTACCTTGCTAAATTTCCACTTCCTTGCTAAATCATCCCTACCTTGCTCAATCACCCCTACCTTTATTGATCACCCCTTACTTACTTAATCACCCCTATCTGGCTGAATCCTCCCTACTTTGCTGAATCCCCCTGCCTTGCTGAAATCCCCCTATCTTGCTGAATCACCGCTACCTTTCCTAATCTCCCCTTCCTTGCTGAATTCTCTCTATCATGCTGAATCATCCCTCCCTTTCTTACTCACCCCTACCTTGCTAAATCATTCCTACCTTGCTGAATCACCCCTACCTTTATTAATCACCCCTACCTTGGTTAATCAACCCTACCTTGCTGAATCCCCCCTTCCTTGTAGAATGAACCCTACCTCGCTGAATCCTCCCTTCCTTGCTGAATGCTCCCTATATTGCAGAATCCCCCATACGTTGCTTAGTTACCCTTACACAATTCTGGGGGGTGGCAAACCACTCGCACGCCACTCTCGAGGGGGTGGCAAACCACTCGCACGCCACTCTCGGGGGGTGGCAAGCCACTCGCACGCCACTCTCAGGGGGTGACAAACCACTCGCACTCCACTCTTGGGAGTGGCAAACCACTCGTACACCACTCTGGGGGGTGGCTAACAACCCGCATGTCACACAGGGGGGTGGCAAACCACTCACACGCCACGCGGGGGGGTGGCATACAACTTGCACGCCATGCGCTGGGGTGGAAAACCACTCGCACGCCACTTACAGGGGGGGCAAACCACTCGCACACAACTTGCAGGGTTGGCAAACCACTCGCACGCCACTCAAGAGGGGAGGCAAACAACACGCACGCCACTCTCGGGGGGTGGTAAACCACTCGCATGCCACCCTGGGGGGTGGCAGACCACTTGCACGCCACTATGGGGGTGGCAAACCACCAACACGCCACGCGAGGGGGTGGCAAACAACTCGCACGCCACGCGGTGGGGCCGCAAACCACTCGCACGCCACTTACGGGGGTGGCAAACCAGTAGCACACAACTTGCAGGGTTGGCAAACCACTCCCACGCCACTCAAGAGGGGTGGCAAACTACACGCATGCCACTCTACGGGGGTGGTAAATCACTCGCACGCGACCCTGGGGGGTGGCAGAACACTTGCACGCCACTCTCGGGGGTTGGCAAACCACTCACACGCCACTCTCGGGGGGTGGCAAACCACTCGGCCGCCACTCGGGTGGGTGGCAAACCACTCGCACGCTGCTCTCGAGGGGTGGCAAACCACTCGCACGCCACTCTCATGGGGTGGCAAACCACTCGCACTCCACTCTAGGGGGTGGCAAACCAATCACGTGCCAATTTCAGTAGGTAGCAAACCACTTGCACGCCACTCTCGAGGTGTGGCAACCCACTCGCACGCAACTCTCGGGGGGTGGAAAACCACTCCCACGCCACTCTGGGGGGTGGCAAACCACTCGCACACCACTCTAGGGGGTGGCAAACAAGTCGCGCGCCATTCTCAGAGGGGGGCAAACCACTCGCACACCACTCAGGGGGGTTCGCACACCATTCTCACGCCACTCTTAGGAAGTGGCAAACCACTCGCACGCCACTATGGGGGTGGCAAACCACCAAAACGCCACGCGAGGGGGTGGCAAACAACTCGCACGCCACGCGGTGGGGCCGCAAACCGCTCGCACGCCACTTACGGGGGAGGCAAACCAGTCGCACACAACTTGCAGGGTCGGCAAACTACTCCCACGCCACTCTAGAGGGGTGGCAAACAACACGCATACCACTCTACGGGGGTGGCATACCACTCGCACGCCACTCTCTGGGGTTGGCAAACCACTCGCACGCCACTCTCGGGGGGTGGCAAACAACTCGCCTGCCACTCGAGGGGGTGGCAAACCACTCGCACGCCACTCTCGAGGGGTGGCAAACCACTCGCACACCACTCTCATGGGGTGGCAAACCACTCGCACTCCACTCTAGGGGGTGGCAAACCACTCGCACGCCACTCTACAGGGGTGGTAAATCACTCGCACGCCATGCTAGGGGGTGGCAGACCACTCGCACGCCACTCTGGGGGGTAGCAAACCGCTCGCACGCCATGTGGGGGGGTGACAAACCACTCTCACGCCACTTGCGGGGGTGGCAAACCACTCTTACACCACTCTCGGGGGTTGACAAACCACTTGCACGTTACTCTGGGGGATGGCAAACCACTCGCACGTCACTGTCGAGGGGTGGCAAACCACTCGCACGCCACTTTGGAGGGTGGAAAACAACTCCCACGCCACTCTCAGGGGGGGGAAGTCCACTCGCACACCACTCTCGGGGGGTGGCAAACCACTCGAACGCCACTTTTTGGGGGGTGGCAAACCACTCGCACGCCACTCTCGGGTGGTGACAAACCACTCGCACGTTACTCTGGGGGTGGCAAACCACTCGCACCCCACTCTCAGGGGGTGAAAAACCACTCGCACGCCATTCTAGGGGGTGGCAAACCACTTGCACGCCACTCTTTGGGGGTGACAAACCACTCGCACTCCACTCTGGGGGGTAGCTATCAACCCGCATGTCACACTGGCAGGTGGCAAACCACTCACACGCCACACGAGGGGGTGGCAAACAACTCGCATGCCACGCGGTGCGGTGGCAAACCACTCGTACGCCACTTGCGGGGTTGGGAAACCACTCGCACGCAACATGCAGGGTTGGCAAACCACTCGCACGCCACTCTAGAGGGGTGGCAAACAACACGCACACCACTCTCGGGGGGTGGTAAACCACTCACACGCCACCCTGGGGGATGGCAAACCACTCGCACGCCACTCTCG